TTCCTTTGTCCGAGTTCGGAGACCCCGGCCACGCATATAAACCATACGGCTCCGATTTCGGAATCCCCGGCAGGTAATGGTTAATACGAGAGCCTTGGGACTTACTAAATTAGCTTGTATTATCCGGACCTTGTTTTATGTGAAAGCTGCCATCCTGCTTAACGTATGTACATGTTCTACCAATCGACCGTGGGTGAAGTGCACAAAAAGTTTACTTTTATGAAAGTTAGATGTACATGTAAATGTACAGTTTAATGAATCGGAGCGATACTGTATCACATATCCCCTATTGATCGACACACTCGCATGTAACGTAAGTACATTAACATTTAGTAACCAACATCTGAGCTGCACTTGTTGCACATAATAAATTGGAGAAAACCAGCTGTTGGTGGAGTGGATGGTAGAGGGCGAATATTGAATTTTAATTTGAAATGGTGTGTGGGTTCGGTGAAAAATTATTAGAGAGGGATACACTTTTTTCTTCAAAACTTGTAGATATTATTTTCTTCGGGCTCTAAATCAAGGTTTAATCATGATTTGCTTAAATTGAGAATTTGTAGAAATTCGAAAATTGGATGGGGCGATATTTTTCATGTTACGGTGGGGAGTGGGTAATGATTTTTTTAGACAGTGCATTTTTGGGGGGGCAGGTGTTTGGTTACGGAACACAAGTTTTATTATTTTCCTTTGGGACTTTGGACTTGGGGAATTTAACAACCATACACTGCATATTAACTAATAAAGGTTTTCCAGGTCAATTTAGCACTTCTTTTATTTAAAATTGCTGAAACAAAAGTTTAATTTTGTAAAAGAGTGGTCACTCACCCTAAATGTTGATTTCTGTTTCGAAATAACACCACTATATTTCATTTTCAGAGCACTGTACACCACAAAAAAACACACTTGTTCGTCCTATTTATCGTCATTTTCGTCTCACTCCAGGAATGGCGTTGAATCGAAAAAGCAAATTTGTTATTTGTCATTCATTTTACCAATTTAATCATTCAATGGATGAGAAGGGCACAACGGAACCAGTCCATTCCAGGGATAGCGGTCGCTATGCAAAAGCTTGCCCCGAATCACAAGGTATAGCAACAGTGTCTTTAGTCTGGGGAGTTCAAATTGTTATGTTTATGTGTAATCAGATAACCCAGTGTACCAGATTTGGTTCAAATTTACCTGACAAAAGAATTATTGCCAGACTTACCTTCCCAAACATCTGCTTGAACTGTTTGGAAATTTTTTGTCGTTGCACATTAGAGCGATGTGTTACCACCTCAATGATGCTCTTTTCATCAGTACCTGTAATCAATCCATCAAATATGTACATAGAAGATAATGTATGTACACAATTTCAACAAACTTTCTTTATTGCATTATACCACTCAAGTCTATGGGGCAGCGTGGACATGTGGGACTTTCACAAAATGGCAGGTACCAACCACAGCATGCAGATGGAAACAACTGCAACGACAGCGTGCCTACATGCTGATCAAAGAAAAGATTGTGTCACCCGATCCTCTGACTGGCTGGTGTGTGGTACCTGCCATTTTGCAAGAGTTTCAGATGTCCGTGCTGCCCCATAAGAGAACTTCACCTTTTCATCTCAGGTTGTGTGTTCAAGGTGTAACAGGTACAAGAACAACAAACTTTTTAATACAGGGAATTTGGAAGGCCTAATATCAATTTGCAATACAGAGCAAATCTTCTTCCTACCCAGTCCCTTCATGGCTTTGCGAAGTTTCTCAGCATCTGCCTGAGCATCAAAAGGTGATGCCGCCACCACTGTACCTTTATCCTGCAAGAAATGATTTAGTTTTCTTCAATTAAACAAGAATTTGTCAGACTTCATAAGTAATAAACCTCATGTTATGTGTTTATTAACAACAATGCAGTTGTTTGTGCTATAGATCTGTGATTCGCAAATCTATGCTAAATTTAATATCTTACACATCTGAAGGCATAACAATCGAACTTTCAACAGCAGCAGAACTTAAATCATGAGAAACCAAGGCTAGAAACACAATGAAGCATACTTCTTTCTGGGTCCTTCAGCCCAGAACTTCTAGTAATCAGACCAGAAACTTACCCAATGAAACACAGCAAACCTACCTGTGGTCGTTTCTCCTTGTATGCCTTTCTTTTTTTCACAACGTATTCCTCTTCACTGTCCTCTTCTTCTGCCTTGGCTTTCTTGGCCTTTCCTCTTCCAGCCTTATCTTTGCTTCCTTTCTTTGTATCTGACATCTTATCTAGCATGTCTTGACCCATGCTAGATGCAAACAAAGCCACGATGCTGTCATAGCCATTCTTGACAGCAAGATCATAAGGTGTCTCACCCTTAGCATTCTTGGCTTTGGCACTTGCGCCTCCCTCCAGGAGAGATTCGATTGCTTCTTGTCCATCGGGTCCAAGGAGAACTGCTTCATGGAGAGCTGTGTTGCCCTTCCTGTCAGACAACATAAACAATTTAATACAGTAAAATCTCAATAAGTCGAAGCTTAGGGGAATGGACGAAAATTTCAAGCTATCCGACTTTCAAGTTATCGAAAGTTACACGCTTCAGTGCACATGCAACCTTACTAGCTTACGGCAGTTGGCCTGCAAGCTGAGTTGAACACGAAGTGGATTTTAGGCTATCCCTGCTGTACACGTTTTCTTCAAACATCATCATTAAACATGTTTTTATGTGGTACATTAATAAACAATAAACCAATGAAGTTATGTACCAGTACCTGTGTCTACGTCTTGAGAATTCATTCATTTGCTTTGCTTGATCGGGCTGTTACCGCATAATGCAGGGCACGGGCCAGTCGGTCAGGGTTTCCATGCTGGGTCACATGTACAAAGTGCTTGAGGGCACATCATTTGTGCCTGATTTATTTTATGGTTGCGGTTAATGCCCACCCAGTGCTTGTCGACGTAACAATTGCAGCCCATGTGAACATGCTCGGCTCATCAAAGAAAAGCTGTGCACGTGAGATCATAATGAAGGCAAGCATTCTTTTATTGCTTTTTATTCATCATTCTTCAGTGTTTTTTTTTAATTGGCCCGCCAAAACTTCGAGATAAGCGGCTTTAGTGGTATTGACATTTCGAGTTACGGATACTTTATTGTACATGAAGGCCTATTCTCTTGTCGGGAATACAGAAAGACGTCGAGGTAAACGGAGTTTCGACTTAACAGGCTTTGACTTATCGAGATTTTACTGTAGTTATCAACCTTAATAAGAACCATATCCATTAACCCTAACCCCCTAAGGTGTATGTAAAATCATATTGAAATTAGAGGATTTGGGACTGTTAGGGTTAAAAGAGCTTTAGAAGCTTTTTTGACCATAAATATCTTAGGAGAACAATTCAATGGAGAGCTATAACATGTATGTTGCACTATAACACAAAAAGAAGTACAAAAAGTTTTCATAATATGGGACTGGTGTCAAGAATAACCTGCAAAGTGATAAGTGGCATATCAAAAACATCAAAGACAACTTCTTCAACTGTTCAAATTCTTTCCCAACCACAATACTACAGTCTTTTGCACTGCAGTTTTCCAAAGCCACCACAAAAAATACTTTTAATTTTAAAATTTAACTTGAGGACTAAATTTTTGTGATTTCTTAGACCTCTGCCACTGTCTTCATACCTGCTGGGTGCTTTAGCACTGACCCTGGCTCCTGCATCTATCAGTACAGGCAAACTTTCTGCATGGTTGTTTATGGTCGCAACAATCAGAACAGGTACACCATCCTTATTTGCACAATTTGGGTCTGCACCATCATCTAGCAGGTCTTGAACATTGTCTGGATCCCCATCTCCCTTAGGTCCAACTTCCTTAAATAAATAACGATCTTCTTCCTGATTGATTAAAAAATATTGATCAAAATTGTCAGACAAAAAGACTCGCAATTTGCAATGACACTGTGATACTGATACTATAAAAGCAAGAAAGTCAGCCAGCCTTCTAATTTTTGCTTTTATTCCCCTGCATACCATTTAGCTACAACACGACCAGTTTGTACATCAGGCAATTAATCAATTAATCAAACTTAGTATAAAGCAAGCTACCAAGCCCTCTATCCAAGCACGACTCAGGCCAAGGTAAACCAACAGTCAGTCAAACCGTTAAGTGGCATCCAGCCAGTGAGCTACAGTAACCTACCAAGCCCTCAATCCATGCATGAATCAGGCCAAGGTAAACCAACAGTCAGTAAAACCGTTAAGCAGCATCCAGCCAGTAAGCTAACCAGCTGGCCAAATTACAAACCTTGTGAAAACTAGCAGGAAGAAGCCTCAGCCAGTAAGCTAACTAGCCATTCAAATTACAAACCTTATTAACGTGCTGGAAGACAGTACCCAGTCGATAAGGTTAAACTTGCCAGCCAAATTATAAACCAC